GGGGGGGGGGGGGGGGAGTTAAACTGCAGGTGATACAAGAGCGACCGTTTGTGCTATTCCACACGAACATGGCTCGACAGCAACCTATTGGGCATGGCTGTGTCCGCGTCTCAGGGCATGAAGCCACCCAGAAACACGCATTTTGAAGAGACCGTGTTGGCAGCCAGCGCTTCGCAACACTGCTGGCTTTGCAAGCTACGTTTGTAACAGCCGTGGGAGCACCCCAAACCCTCACTGCTCAAACCTCCATTGCAACGCAGCAGACAGACGCACTCCGCTGACGCATGGACACCATGGGCAGAAAGCCCCAAAAGGGGTGGGAAAGTTAGGCCTGAGATCCCTGTCCTCAACATCCCCTATTCTCCATTTCATCTCACTGCAGTCCCTAGCGCTTATCGCTCAGGCTCATGCTTAATCAGGCTTAGTGTAAGGGACAACCACCCCTCAAACACGCCCGCTGCGCAAGCGCACTTAGCACCAGCGCAGGCCCCCCCCGAACAACGGGCACCGCCCCGCACATGCGCAATGAGGCTGCTCGCCCCCCTCCCGCCGGAGCGTCATGGCGGCCGGCGCCCCTCTGCGCATGCGCGCTCATGCGCACGGGCGCGTGCGGTCTGGCTGGGCCGGCGGCGCGGAGATGCCGCAGGGCCCGGGGGAGGCGGCGGCGCCGGGGCGCGGGACGCTGCGCTCCGCCAACAGCCGCGAGCTGGCGCAGGTGATCTTCCGCAACTGGAGCCCGCGCCCGGTGCTGCCGGTGTGGCTGGACTTCGAGGGCAGGCCGCAGAGCTACCCCGTGCTGCAGCCCGGCACCGGCCGCCGCATGCACAGCTTCGTGGGTGAGTGCCAGGGGCCGGCGCTGTCCCGTGTCCTGGGTCGGTGCCAGCCCCACTGTGGATGTGTGGGGCATGGGGGGGCCGAGCAGCCCCTTGCAGGCTGGCAGAGCTCCCCATGCTTTTCTCCTTTAAAGCAAAACCCGGTTGTTGTTTTTTTGAAATTTGGCCGCAATCCTTTCGTATGTATTCTTGTGACCCCCCTTTGGGTCGCGACACGTGGGTTGACAGGCGCTGATCTCGAGCTTTGTGGACCCAGACACTTGTTATTCGACTCAAGGCCCTCCGGCCACAGCTTGTGTGAATTGAGCAGTGCCCTGTTTTGTAAAACGAATTTATCTGCTATGGCAGAGGTTCCCAAGCCCCAGGCCACAAAGGGTTGGTGGCCGGACTGGGTGTCCAGAAGTGACTCATACTGTGGACCAGCAGCCAACTCTTTTTCATACCAAGTATAAAGCTGAGTGTAAACAAAGGGTGGCCAGTCTGTGGTATGCTGGTCACTTCCAATATGCAGTTTCCTGGTCTGTAGTCACTTCCGCGGTTTGCCGGTCCACCATCTAAAAAAGTTGGGAACCGCTGCACTACAGCACTTGCCTCCTTAGGGAGCTGGGCAGGGCAGCAGCCAGGCAGGGAGAAACCTGAGCCTGCCCCTACCTCCTCACACTTGGCAGTGCCCATCCAAAGATCGCGCAGCACCCTGGTTGAGAATCACCCATCCAAATTCTTCCTTTGCTCCAATTCTCCGTGATCCTGCACAAGCTCTGAGTCCACTAAATCCAGAGCTGAATAATATTGTACGCCATCTTGTTCTCATTCATATATTATCAAAAGGTATCATTCAGATGAACTGGATGTACGTCTCCCACATTACATTTGATCTCTGCTTTGTTCTAGGGCATCTTTGGCTATTCAGAGATGCGGGGACAGATGACAGACTTCTTGTCAACAAGATGGAGCTGTTTGAGCCTACTCGCAATGTGGATGGGAACTACATATTGGCAGACATCACACTACCTGGTAAAATAAATTAAATCTGGCAGTGTTTAAGGGGAAACCAGTGAATTAAGACCACACACCTTATTCTACTTTAATATTAAAAAAAAAAAAAATATATCAATAAATTGGTAGACACTCTCTCTCTAAAGCAGAAAAGTTCTTGAAGGACTTCCTAAAGCAACATTGCGGATTTTTCTCTTCAGCACGGTGGTTAACAATCAGGCCTTGACTTAAGCTCCTCATTCAGCATTTTTATTCTATTTTTCTTAAGGTTTTGTGGTTCAGTTGCTACATTTCTATTCCTAGCTTGGCCAGTCATTCCATGGGATGTAGGCAATATCTCACCATCCAATTTTTCCCTTTATATAAACATGCAAAAAATAATACCTCTCTCTCACAAGAGTGCTGCGGGCTAATTTTAGTAAAAATACTTTCACGTTTTGGTACAATGAGCTTCTCTAGCACTTCTCAGCCAATCTTTTCTCTCTCCAGTGTTCACCCTGAAAGAGAGATGCCTTCAGGTTGTTCGCAGTCTGGTAAAACCAGTGGACTATAGGAGATTGGACATTGTTCAGTCTTTATATGAAGAGTTGGAAGATCATCCCAATGTTAGGAAGGATATCATTCGGCTGTCTCTGGAAAGAAGTGAAATGCTAAGGAATGGAGCTCCTGAATAAAATTGAACATCATTCATTCCAAACTCTTGAACAGGAACGAAGTCTTCCCTGGCAAACTACTAAGTTTAAATGGTGTTCACACTGAACCATTTCAAGAGCTGAATAGACGTTTGCATTCCATGTTCTGAAGGGTGTCTGCACTCTGTTGGTTTCAATAAGTAACACTTACTAGGATGGACCAGATTCAGGAGGCTAAACAGTATCTAAAATGCCAAGGGGAGCTGTTCAAAGGCAATTGACCAAATTCTGCTGCCCTTTATACATAGGTGAGCTAACTGCTGGATCTTATCTACACTGGTTCCATACATTGCCATGCACCAAATGAACAGAACACCATTTTCTTAACCAGCATTGTGTTTCCCCCCTTTCCATTTCTTCACTGGATACACACAAATTAAACTATAATTCTTTGTTCAACAAATATTAAGGTATCCATCAAACAGTACTATGCAATGTTAGGAGCAGATCTCCAAAGAAACCGTTGTCATTGTTTAATATTGCACATTTATTTCGTATGAAATTCATACACTCCAAGAAAACTGCTGTGAAACTAAATGATTGATATAGCCTATACAGTAATTATTAAATGTCTCTTCCACTTTTTGTAAACTTGTTAGTTTTTCTTAAAACATTTAAGTGTCTGATCTGTTCTTCATTCTCTGTCATCAAATGTAAATATGTATTTTATTTTTTTTAATATATATATTTTTTACGATCGGTTGTTTGTTAAATAACTTCATAGTCATTTCCTGTTTTTTCATTCTTGAAGAATAACTGATAGCAACTTAAGCAAAAATGTATGCTTTAAAAGTTATCAATCTTGCCAATGACAAAATTTGATCCCCGCAGACTTCCTGCCTATGGCAGGGGGGTGGACTCAATCTCACAAGGTCCCTTCCAGCCCCTAATGTTTATGAAATATATGAAAATGTAATTAGCTACTTTCATAGGCAGTGTCTGTACTAAATATTTTCCCTTGAAATTCCTTGTGTACTCCAACCCGTGGCCCCAGCTATTGCTGATGAAGCTACAGTGATAGGTGTTCTAGCATAGACAAAAGCACTGGTAGTTCCCAGAGTTTGCACCATGCTCTCTCTTTGCTGATAGCAAATGAGAATAATATTGTGGCAAGAAGCCCCAGTGACCCTAAGGCTACACTAAAACTCACACACTCATCTATCACTAGTGGAACTCCATTAAATGAGAAGTTTTAAGCCTGCTGTACATCATATACTAGATTCAAGTTCAAATATAACAATTCATCCTTGACCTTCCTTTTTGTGTTTTAAAATGTAAGTTGATGCTTCAAGTCTTAATCCTAGGAATACTGAGAGATGCTTTGATCAAATGTTCTGCCCCATTCTGTGTACTCAGAGATGATCAAAGATAACAAGAAGTCCTTTTTTAAAATCCATAGGGGGTAAAAAGAAGGTACCAAGTAACGTGGGGCCTCTGCAGGACATGCTTGGTAATCTGGTGGTTGTACCAGATGACAAAGCTAACTTCTTTAACAGATTCTTTTGCTTCCATTTTTCTGAGCAGGGACATCCCCCACACTGGGATCCTGGACAGACCCAGGGGAGATGCAGCCAGGCCCAGGGTCAGTGAGGACCTAGTCAGAGAACTTCTGGTGGGACTAGACATGTTCAAATCAGCAGGTCCTGATGATCTCCACCCCAGAGTGCTGAGGGAATTAGCAGAGATCATTGTGGGACATCTGGCACAGCTTTACAAGCACTCATGGTGGTCTGGTGAGGTGCCAGAGGACCGGAAGAAGGCCGCTGTCCCCATTTTCAAAAGAGGACCCAGGAAACTATAGGCCCATTAGTCTTACCTCAGTCCTAGGAAAGCTCTTTGAGTCCTAGAGATAAGACTTAGTCCTAGAGATAGGCCTTCCTTGATATTTCTTGATGGCCAGCTACTACGCTCTGTTTTACAGGTGAACTTGCCTCGTCTAAAACTGCACATGAAGTCCAGTAGAGCAAAGGACTGAACCCAGATTGCAGGTTCTGGTTCAGTGCTGCAAGCCTGCAACCTCTCTTCCTACCCCGCCTCAGAATTGGCACTTCTTACATAGTCTGAATTAACTAAGGTTTTAAGTACTTTCAGTTTCGACTGTTCAGCTGATGTAATCCTGTTTTCCTTTTGCCAAAGGACTGAAACGTCACACTTTTCTAGCACATGAGAGGACAACTAGTTCCTCTTCAAAATGAGAAATGCAAGTTTCCCTCAGATATTCATTTACATTTTTTATACTGACTTTGGAGTCGCACATGCTGTCACACTGGATTGGTTTACTGCAGCGTGAATGTGCCATGGTATGTCTTTGTGACACTTGCTATCACTATAAGTCACATCAGAATTTATTTTCTGTATTAAATGCCACCCCCTTTAACCAAGTTAGTCATAACAACGTAGTGGTAATACTGGTTTTTATTATCAAATAATCACTATACCCTGCCATATACAAGTTCAGATAATAAGAACTACTACAGACTGTATCTCATTTTTTGTAGCTCAGTGTGGCAAAGTGGGACTCCCAGAATAGCCAGTGCTAGTTGACCCACTTGCCTTTGGGCACACCACCCAGCCGACTCGCATGCCTTGGTGTTGTTAATTAATTAGAATATTAATTAAGGCAAGAGGCTGCCCATTCTTGCCTTGATGCCAGGGGGCGCTATCTGCAGCTGTTCCTCCCCTACACTGCAGCTCAAGCCTTGCAGATGGCATCTAGATGATAAATTGCTCCTGGCTTACAGCGGGACCTAGCTTAGGCCTTATCATCAGGCCTCAGGTCACACACATTCATACCACCCTCCTCTCACTAGGGAGTCTCACACTCCACCCTCTCTCACAGGGTCTCTTTCATGCATCAACAGCTTATTCTGCCTTGCTCCCTCTTAAAGTGGGCTCCTTAGGCCATAAGCTTTATCTAGTTCGTACTCTGGGTAGCAGACATACCATCTTTTGGGCCTCTCCTGTGACCCTCACCGGGTAGTGGCTAGCCAGTTACCCGACCCAGTCTAAGCTTGCTCTGCCCCCTTCCTGGAGCAACTCTATATGCTCACACGCTCTGGTCTCAGCCCTCTGGTTCTTCTCCCCCACTGGGGTCCCTCCTCTCTGCCCCCTTTCTGGGGCACCCCTCACTGGGGCGTTCTTAACTCACACCACAACTGGTGTTCCAGGGTCTCACAGGGACTCTCACTCCCCCCTCCACTCCAGAGCAGCTGGTCATCATGCTCACTGTAGGCCTTGCTTTCAACAAGACCTTGGCCTCACTTGACCTCCCAGCAGTGGAGGACTTACCAGGGTCAGTACTCGCCCCTGTCTTTTGGCCTCTGGCCCAAACTACAGGCTCAGGCGTCCAAAGACATACCTAGGCCTACTTCCCTCACTGGGGCTCCACACCGCTCCCTTCACTGGGAGCACGGGGCTTCCCTCCCCGGTGAGCTCAGGTGGCCATGGCCATGCCTGGCCCCAACAACCTTTCCTCAGGGTCCTACACCCCACAGGCTCAGATGGCCACAGCTGTGCTTGGCCCCAGCTCTCACTCCTCAGGGTCTTGCACCCCACAGAGCTCAGGTAGCCACAGCCATGCCTGGCCCCACTCCCTCCAGTGTTACATAACCCACCCAAAGGTGAGGGCTAGGGTAAAGGCACCCCTACCCACCTTTCACCAGGTGGGTAACTGGCCTGGCATTTCCTGGGGGCTCCCTCCTATAGTTTCATAGTAGCTAGGGACAGGAAGGACCTGAACAGATCATCTAGCCTGACCCCCTGCCACAGGCAGGAATGAATGCTGGGTTCACGAGACCCCAGACAGGTGATCATCCAACCTCCTCTTGAATTTGCCCACAGTAGGGGCAAGGACCACTTCCCTGGGAAGTTGTTTCCAGATTTTGGCCACCCTAACTGTAAAATAATGCCTTCTATAGTTTCATAGTAGAAAGGGTCTATAGTTTCACAGTAGGTAGGGAGAGCCACACCACTGACAGCCCCACCAGGCCACCCACTCCTGGCAGGGTGCAGTTTTAGGTCATGCCCAGGACCAGAAGCCTCCAAACCACCCCCTACAGCTCCTGCCCTTACCTTCAGGACACTGCATAGAACCTTACACCCAGACAACATTACTACCTGCCCTGCCAGCAGGGGACTGCTCTGTTTATATAGGCAGCCAGAGATCTAAAATGGCCACCGCAATCAAGCACCTGCTGACTGCTTGGCTCCGCTCTTAAAGTGGCAGGCACCAACAGTGCCCTGCCACACTCAGAAACAGTCTGGCATAAGAATAAATGTGAGAGAGGCAAAAGGGTATTGTGATACCCAAAAGCTTGCCAGTGTTATTCTATCCCAACCATCAAGCTGGCCCAATGAAAAATATATCTCACAAAAATTCTTGCTTCTCCCATGTATTGTTTGTCATTGGCATTACAAGTGGGGTATTTTGTAATAGTCCTTCTTTTAGATCAATTTCATTTGTTACCTAAGCTCTTGGCCTCATTATTTGTTTTAAACTTCAAATATAAGGAAGCTGTTGGGAAAATAAATTTCCTGTGCTGGTTGAGGTGATATTTTTCAGCTTGGATATGTAAAGCACATATTAGCCATATATACTGACATCAGTTTGATCAAAATTACATTTTCATATGGGATATGACTGTGTTGTACAACGGTAAGTAACATCATCTGACATCATCTCCAAGATATGTCAGAAAAATATTTAAGTAAGCCTGTATATATGAGAACATAAAACTAAGGATGTCCCCCTTCCCCTCAGCTCTGTAAATTGGTAATTGTATATGCAGAATTTCAGTCCTCACTTACTCAATTCAGTAATGAATGAAATGCTGTAACTCCCATGGCTATGAAATGAAAGAAGGTGTTTCTCAATTCTGCTCGTAATTTCACTACTTTAAAAGACAATGACAACTGAAACTACTGTTGAGTGACTCCAGAAGAACAATAATTTGAGAGGATCCAGTTCGTCTGGAAGTTCTGCTACTAGACTTTCCTTTAATACCTGGGGCAGTTAGG